ATACATCAATATATACACAACAATCTGAAAGACAGCTCAACTACCCAATATTCACTTGTGGTTTTATTCAGTTTATATATAGAATAGAATACATTCCATGAAATCAATGGCAATCTATTATTACTATTATTATTTCATGTTTATAACCATTTTGATAATTTAAATATTAGACTTAAGAAATATCTTTTATTAAATATCAAATGAAAGATATGTCAACTATGATTTATAATACATACTGATATAACTAGATTTCTATGATTATAATTAATAGAACAAAGGGAGTCACCTTAAATTTATATTAGAATTTTCAATAAAATTAATTAACGATAATGAATCAAGTATCTTTATTACACATATGTATAGTGAACATAAGAAAGTAAAACGTGAATTTACTTTCATTTCTGTTTTTCTAAATTAAAGAAAAAATATTTATGTATTTACTTTGAAAGGAAACAGTCGAATACTTTGTGGCAAAGGCTATTAAACACTACATGCGAAGATGGATAGTGGCTAGCAGTGGAATTAAGGACGCGGGTTTCGTCCTATCTGAGACTCGTCAGCTGAATGTACTGGCATCTCTGAATCGATGTTCATTCCAGCACTCGAACCCAGTGCCGTTCACTTCAAACGCCATCACGTTATGCAATCAGCTACTGAGTCCCGGTAGCAACCTGTCTGTGCAGTGGGGTAAAGTTCAAATTCACTTGCTATTGTTTGTTTGAATCTTCCCATTGATATTTAGGACTGTAATACGCACAGTAAGCACATACACTAATAAGAGACTTATCAATTGTAGTCCTAAAGATTCATGGGAAGATTCAAACGAACAATACCAAGCGAATTTTAATACTAAACACTGGTTTTTTTTAGTCAACCAGTCAGTCATATGTAATGTAAAGCTTAATTTCAATGTATATTGTTTCATGTTGTCATATCACAGTATCACAGAGAAATAAAATTATCATTACAAAGGCAAAAATAACAGAATTATTAACGGTATTATTAGTAGTAAAATAGAATAAATACAAATAGTATGAATCGAGAAGAAATAATGAATTCGTGGAATTAGAAACAGAATATATAACTCAAAACTTAAAGGAAGATACAGAGCGTATACATCTTTTATAATGCCAAAGTGTTATTTTATTTTTCCCTAAACATGCAATAAGACATTAGTTACTATTCATTGATGATCAATGTTAGTTTTAGATGAATATCAGCAAAAATAGGTTACTTACTACTAATCACATCTTTATTAACGTTTTATTTTATCTACTAACATTCATCTCAATAACATTGAATTGTTCAGTTCTTTTAAATGTTTTACAGTACATTATTAAACTGGTACTATACATATATATCATTGGGATATTTTTCATCATATTTCATAAACGTTTTAACTTTATTACTACACCTTAGCTAAATAATCTTGAATGGTCACAAAATCTATAAATCAGTGAAAATAATCTACTTATATATATATATATATATATATATATATATATATATATTGTTGCCAAGGTTACACTTGGTAATTTCAAATAAACTAAGTATTGAGTAAACATTTTTAGTATGATATTGATTAGAAATTAGAAATCTTGTTTCGAATTACATATCTAACTACATTTACTTAATAAATTATTCACTTTATGTATGATAATCTCTATATACACTTTGTTTTTTTGATTCTATCAAATGTATATTTTTCTTTTAAAAATGAAATTATTCATTTTCTATCATATTGCACAGTATACTATGGTTATTATATTCACATGATTAACATTAGTAGTTGATAGAGAATATCAATGATTATAAGTAGTAATGTTGTTGTTGTTGTTGTGGTTGAAATGAAAAATCTATTTTGATTTCAACTTGTATCCAATATAATAGTGATGTGTGCACATTTATGTGTATCATTGTTACCGGTTATTAAAGAAAGAAAAAAAAACTGTCAAGAAGAACATGAAAGAACTTTATCGCTTATAAATAGTTTAGAATTTTAATGTTATGAATTATTCAGAAAATATTTTTCATAGGAACATATCCATTTATGATGTACAAATTAGTAATTTATGTATTATTTTTGATGATAAATTGATAAATTTATTTGTTATTAAAAACGAGTTAACTAAGTAGAAGGTTGATATTGCATAACTGTGATTGAACATTAGTAATTTTAACTTATCAATCATTTAAGCTGAAAGTGTCCATTAAACCTCAACTCTCGTCATAGTTGCTTACTCAGGAAACATCTCAAATTTCAAAAAACAGATATATTTGTAACCCAGATGAACAAAATATCTTACATAATAGCATTTTATGGGTGGAACCACAATCAGTTGATCCACAAAACTGTTATATAAGTATTATTAAACAAGAATCATAAGAATATCAAATCAAGAAATCTATTCCCGATTCCTTGACCCACACCACCCAGTACGTTTCCTCATTCAAGCTTACAACTGATTGACAGTTAACAGAAACATATTATGCATTGTGTGAGTTTTGATAGAAGTAGAAAATTCATTTGAAATATTGGTCATACGTAAATTAATAACCACTTGATCCATGACTTTTATTGAATTGATCTCGTCAACAACAAATATTTCAAATTTGATATAACCTACAAGTTCGTGTTCATTCAGCGAAGAACAGAAATTTAAATACTGGAAACAACATGAAATGAAAATATCGATTCCTGTTATTAACATAAGTGTAATAGGTAGAGAAAGAGATCATCCATATCCACTTAATTTATAGCTAATATTTCGATGATACATCTTGAACATCATCCAAATATTTCAAAATGCCATTGACATTATTTTAACCAAATTCTGTCATTTCCTTGTAAATCAGACTTGGTTTGTCAAAGTGCCGCGTCTAATTTTTCGAACGAAATGTAGTCAGAATTGTACAAAGTAAGCGTTCAGTTTCAGTTATTTATAAAAACAAATATGTGATAGACTGGAGATATTTTGCAACCAAATTCATTCGTTTCATTTTTATTTAGTTGTTAAAAACTAGCTAACTAGCGAGAAGGTTGATATTGTATAACTGTGATTGAACTTAACTTGTAATGTGGATTAAAAGTAATGTTAGATATTATTTGAACATAGGTATTATTCATAGCTATGTTAGTATGAAAATAAATCACATTAAGTATCTAGCGTTTATTGAATTTAAAAATGGTTACCAATATAATCTCCCCTAAATCTATGTTGAATAGTTTTTTTATCAAGTACACAGTTATTTCGAATCATACACTGTGAATAATCAACTATCTTACCGCGTCCCATGATTTGAAATTGTTGACCGTTTTACTCTAACATAATAACCAAAATTCCAGTATGCCTAAAATACTCACTTATGAAGCACAGTTCAATGACATTTATGTATAAGCACATATGTCAACTATGAATATAATAGGATGCTACTCAATGACATTATATTTGTTAACAATATTTTTGGCTGATTCTTATTATGCAATTTTTAATTTTACTATTACATCATCATGGTTATTATTGGTTCCTATGTCCTAACGGAACTAATACTTTAACAAAAGTTTATATATATATATATATATATATATATATATATATATATATATATATATATATTTACAGAGTACAGAAAGGCATATTCTGATAAGTTATCAAAAACTAATGTTTACTAGTAACCTTGTTACATAGGTAACACGAGATTGGTCTATATTATTACAATTATAAGATATGCAGTCTTATCCTATTTCAAACATTTCCATATGGCATGGTTTTTGAATGGTAGCAAGCTTTAATCGACTGGGAACAGTAAACTTTAGATGGTTAAAGATAATTAATAAGAAAATGTAGACTTGTTTTTTTGCGGTGGATGCTGCTGCTCACTTTAAAGTGTATGAAACATGTTTTTTATTACATCTGCATTTAGGTTACTCACTGTCGTTACCTCCTAATCTAAACTTATTACTAACCGATATCATAATGTTTGTATATCGGATAGAATTAGATCAGTCGCAACACTGTAACATAGGTCCGAATCCTATGTAGAACCTCAACTCACTTATAGACTAGCGTAAACTATTAACTTGTCTAGTAATGCCACTGAAACGTGGTTGATGTAATTTGTTGAAAGTCAGGTGCTAGAACAAATCATACCATTCAGAATAAACTGATCAGTTGGTGATTTAAACAAGTATATGTAAACCAAACTTGTAGTATACGATTCTATATTTCTCTGACAAAATGAAACTAAAAAAGTCTCTAAGTAACTTTATAAACCAAATTTTGTTGCTGATGTCTCCCATTATTTAATATGTTAGAAAATAATAACATTACCATCTCAACGAAATCCTAATAACTAACAAATACTATTTTATTAACTGTCGACATATTTTTATATTCATCAAAACAATCTCTTTATACTCAATACAAATCACTTAGAATCTATTTGATCTAATTAGTAAACAAATAGTAATCTGGGTCGTTACGGAATTCAATGATAAATAAACCATTAACTTCGGACTTTTATTTACATATTCATTTAAGTATATTAATACTATTTGATAGCCTAAGATCATGAAATTATATATTTAATACTAAAATTTCGATCGCCTTCATTCAATTTATCTAAACCTTACTTTCGGTTTCTAGTTTTGATTATCATATTGGCGAAAGTTAATACTTTGGAATATCTCATTTTGATCGATTACTTTCATCATTAAACATAAATGGATAGTGTGCGTTTACACAGTTGTCCATTTCCTTGTCGTTATTCATGCTCTTTTTTTTAAAGATTTTCAAAATCCTACTTTCCACTCTACTTTATTAAGAATGACATACATTCATGGTTGAAATAAACCTATTAAAAATATACGTTTCAGTCACTATAGCTACTAGAAATACAGAAGTATTATTTTAGGCTGCTTTTAAGTCAAGTAAATTCCTGTTTTCTAATAGCGTGATATAGAATTACTATTTAAATTATTTTACTTTTAACAAATATATGCCCTTTGTTTTTGTATATTTTTATCTTTGAAATTAAAGGATTCAATCATTTTGATAAAACATTTTCTGAAAGTAAGTCAAGTTCTAAAATGCTTTTTGTAACAGAACGGGACCAAATAAAATAGTGGTGAACCTATAGAGCACTTGACAACCTTTTCTTCCTACTATAGAGCCTTTCAGATATGTGCGCTAACGACCTCATTATGGACAGGACTCAGGACCTTCAAGTATTTTGGTGGAGGCGTAACTCTCATATCATCAAGTTAAAATCAAATGATTAATATTTACGACTTCAGTCAGTTTCTGATATAAAGCGTCAAACATCGCATTCAAGAAGGAAATAAGTGATTGATTCTCTTTGGTTATAGAAACAACCTCATCTATTGTTAGTACGAAATGAAAACCACAACTTAAAAACTGATATTCATGAACTTTTGTTTATTCACTTGAAAAAAAACTCAAACTTTATTAATTACATATCACTTTAACAAACTGATATATCCTGATCAATGAGAAATAAGGCAATTCAAGCCTAACTTTCATTTCGTAAGCCTGTGTAAAGAAATGATTAAAGCCATCCTAATAGGAAAACACATTCTTATACAAACAAATATATTTATAAAATAATCAGTAATTAGGTGAAATATCGCCCTAAACCTTTACACTTTTTAGTTTTATGTACAACGTTTAAATTCTATGTCAATGATAGTAAAAATAATCACAAAACGATATCTGATTTGTTTCCTTTCAATTATGAATAATGGATAGATTGCTGTGTAAACACATATCATTCTTCTTAATCTACAACAAATAACAGAAAGATTATAGATAATTTGTTTAATGTATTAAACTATAACATAAACAATAGAAAAGCAGAAGTGAATTTCAGTCATAATAATTATGATAAGAGTAAAGTATATTAGGAAGGTTAGAAGAAATAAATTCGCTCAATTATTGAGGCCTTTTTTCCATTGAACCCAACCTCTTGTTATCCAATCTTTACCTTTTTTCTTCGGTGTAAACTCTTGTGCAATGTACCCATTTGTTATATCAATAATACAAAATTGTAAATTTTTGGCTTCATTAATCAATAAGTCCTTTTTATTGTATGACGTTTATTTGTGAGTTAATCTTTTTCTCGTGCTGTTTTTTCCTCTTGGTAAATATGTGTGAACAATTTTAACTAGATTTTTTTTAATACTGGCACTGAAAATGAAGTAAATACTACATGAACCATGTAGCCTAAATGAGAAAAGGATGCAAATATAATTTTATTGGAGTTAATGTTAACGTACTTTCTGTAGCTTTTACTTAGTAAAGTTTAGCGAGTACGAAAAAACCATACACAATGCAAAAGTTGAAATATTACTTTGCGTTATGTCGAAATGGTGGTAGAAAGCTTAAATAACGAAAGTCATAGAAAACTAAATTAAGACACTAAAGGTAATAGAAAGCTTAATATAAAAAATTATGGTCTAAATGAAATAAAAGGACAAAACTATAAAATCATATTATATTCACCAATTATGGAACGATAAAGACTTATCAAACCTTAGATGGTGGTTGGAGGCAGCTAACAGGAAACCCTGAACCCGGGTTTCATGCTACTCGGCACTTGTCAGAAAGATGTACCTGTAATCTTGAGGGAACTGGTGCTCCCTGACTTGGTCGATAGCATTCGATCTGCACTAAGAAGGACTTGACACGCTTGACACCCAATGACCAATCATTTGTGACTTATCAAACCTGTTCAGTTAAGCTCTGCTTTGAATTGTAACATTTGTACTCTTAGATTTTAGTAAAAATTGGTTGTGTATAATAAACGATAGAAAGCTGATAATATATCATAATTGAGAAAATGATCAAATAGAGGAAAAATATTAATATAAGCCAGATAAATAATCGCTCCTGAGTACGCATTTACTTTTAGTTTGATAGTACAGAGTCGTTACTATTTGAAAGTTAATACCTGCACTGTAAATTCGAAAAGCAATGAAGTTTAACGCTTCCAGGGTGAAAATTTCCCAAATTTTACTTCTGTCTTTGGGAAGACAACATTACTGTACATGTAGATCACCCAAGGAAAACGCTTGGTTTCATATGGATTTCAGTTAATAAGTGTTCATTTATTTTGTTTTATTTGTACCAAAAAATGGTGCTAAGGGGTTCTAAAAATGAGACATACGAAAGAGATCGATAATTTTATCGGGAAATATAAAACAACAGGTCAGTATATTTTAATAGCAGATTAGAAATGATAATTAGTAAGTATAGTATGACTAAAGATGTAACCAAGATAATTTTTTTATATAATAAGATTAATTTTACGTTAATTAAGTGCATAACATAAAAATATACCAGGACAGTCTCTGGATAAATCAAGCTCTATGAAATTCAAAACTTCGATCGCAGTTCAGTAATGAACCAATATATGTTATTCATATGCGGATTGTCTTATCGACAGCAAATTAATAGAAGTGTAGAAGTCACTGAGTTGATATTCCTAAAACCCATCTAAATAATCAAAGTCATTATTTTTTGGAAATGACATTAGTCGAATCGGTAGTCTCTATTACTTACACTGTATTGTCATTGGATTTTTCTTCGGAACCAGGCTTGTTACTAACGGAGGTTTAGGTTAGTCTTATTAACCTGTCGTAGTTACCAGGTTTATAGTTATTTTCACCAAGTTAATCAGTTTTGACTGCCATGGTTTACATTGCTTAAACAACCTGTATACACAAAGTACCATTTTAGTAATTAACTGGAACTCTTCCAGGAATTGAAACTGGTCGGATGTATTTTATCTTATGAACAAAACTATGGAAGGTAGCCCCTATAATCTGATCTGCAAAGGATGAGTTCATGTTATTCACAAAAGCCGCTCTATTAACTACTTAAGTACGCGTTCAAGTCATCATCTAGTATTCGGTTAGAACTCCCTATTGAAGAGATTAGTCGTTTGACGAAGAAATTTATCCTTCATTCAATGTTGACTGCACTGTATTGAAACAGAGAGGGATATTACAAAAATGTACAGCTTCCCACTACTATTTACTCTTACTTGGTTGGACTTTATAACCCACTGCATATAAACGACTATAACCGAAGGTAATATTGATTAGCCGGTGATCTGTTTTTAAGTGATGGGGAGTGGTGATACCAGAAACACTAAAACTTGATTAGATGGGCTTCCTCGAGTAGGTAGCCGTGTAAACACTGACAGACCAACAGCTGGAGAAAACGTTAGCGCCATACACTTAAACATGGGTAACTAGCAACACTTTCCAAAGTCATAACAAGAACTGACCGTTTTTCAACCTGAATCAAAGTATGCGGGTGCGCTATGGCGAGGTAAAACGGTACAAGCAATTTTGAAATAGTTGTATCAGATGTTTTGTTCTGTAATAAAATTTATAATCACAGACGAATAACAAAGGGAACTTAACTGAGCTGGATCATCGATTACATAACACGGTGCGGTTTCAAGGAACAAGTTATTTACTTACTTAATCTTCACAAAGCAACAAGCAAATGTAACTAAGCTATTAAGGTAACAATTAGTGCCGAGTAAGAATATAAAAATAATGTGGTTAGCATTTTCGACAGCAAATGGGCAAAACTTAGCAGGACCGAAAAGTGGAAATCGGTAGTAAAAATTAAAAATATTTCGTTAAAATTAAAAGTATGATAATGCACACGTTGGTTTGCTCCAACGTTTGATTATTTTTTTAAAATTTAGGTCTTTAGGGAAACTCATTCCTTTCAAATTGAGTTAAATCAGTTGAATCATTCATTAAACCAAAAAAACATTTATCTTAGTTTGAAACATTTCTGCTTCAGAAAGGGGAACAACTCTAGTATTTCAAACAAACAGTTTTTACCTTAGGAATAGATCAAATAGTCTTACATTTTGCAAGCTTTATTTTATCTAACAAAGATAAAATTTAGTCAACAGAAAATAAAAACTTGTATGTCCATATATTTATTTACTTAAACACAAAAATATTGGAACAAAACAGTGCCAAATACATATGCGTGGTACAGCCCAGGTGCCCAAACCGAAGCAGGTGGTTTTCTTAGGGGGCGACACCCGGAGCCTTCGACCGGAAAAACTGATCCACAAGGCAGTGGAGCAACGTCAGGAGATGTGGGTCTATGGTAGACCGTGACTAACAATAGTTTCATACGCCATTTGTTTCCTTAGGATCCTGGAGCCCATATGCACCATTGGTTTGAAATCAGGGTTTTCAGATGCCCATAGGTGTACCGTCTGTGTCCTCCAACCCGGTTAAAGCGCCGGATATTCGCTTTCCGTCCTCTCAATTTCGTAAGCAACATATCCACTACGAGAAGGCAATGACTAGGACTTCCCTGGCAGTGCTTGTATGCACACGGCCATGTGAAAACATTTCAGGAGGAGAAGCTGAATTTCCCCACTGTTGGCTGTACCAGGCATTTGGAGGGGGCGGCCTAATGGCTACATACAATAAGTTACAACTCTTACTGAACCCATAGCAAAGAAACGTGAAGTAATGTCTTTGCAGATGGTTTGCATCAAAAGTGCGAATAAATACTCACATTCAAAACTACTTTAAAATACTTAGCCCTACTTTCTTAACTTAGAAAGCATGAAAACACCAAAAGTAAACAAACTTATTCCTATCTATCTTAGTAAAGTTAAAGTACTAAGTTTTCAAAAAACTATTTCTTTTGAAAACAATAACACATAAACTGTATATCATTTTCTGTTTTTAAGTAATCAAGTCGAGATTTAAAGACATATTTAGTCAATAAGATATTTTTCATTAAGATTTTATGAAATTTTGCATCTACGAAAAAGTCGCATTTAAAACGTTTGTTATGACAGACTTCATTTGAAAGTTTACAACGTATATGCTTTTCCACGGGTAACATTTAGCACAAACTTCACTAAGAAAAATTACTTAAAGTAGTAAGTAACGTATAAACTTAATGTTTGTTCCAAATGAAGTACTGAAATATCTTATATGTAAAATCAACTTATAATACGTTGCTTGTCTTAAGCATGATAATACCCCCTAGATTTGAACTCATAAATATCCATAGACAAGGCCTAGCCAGAACTTACCTGTCACTTCAAATCTCGGATTAACTTGCTGTGCGACATATAAATATACAGACCCATTAGAAGTAACTGTTGCTCTACCATTCTTATTGTTGCTTATGTAAGTTATGTTTTCAACCCAAGGGTTTTCCTGAGGATCGTTTGTGTCCATTTGTTTTTCATCTTTCATATGAAGTATATCACGATCGTCTATACCAAAACCTTCTTCGATATTATAATATCCAATAGAAAATTCCTCAATATTTTCATTCGGATCATAAGGGAATGGAGTATCGAATCCGCTTTCCTCAGATGCTCGTTCGAGATTAATTATCGAGCGAGTACTATGATGTAACATCTTATCGTTATAACCAGCAGTAGACTGTCGAAAACGAACATGATTTTTTGCATTTACTGGATAAAAACTGCTATATTTTGATACATTTGGTCCACTTTGTGAGTGATTATTATTTATCCCACCGCGACTGTCCATTAGATGAGTACTATCTACCTGGGTGGTTCTCTGCCTACCAAACTTGAGCTGATTGTTTTCGTGTGGTAAAGAGCCATTAACATGAACAGTTGTACTACTCGGGGAGAATTTTTCTTTGTTTTGTTGACCCGGAATTTTATTCCATGTAACTTCTGAACGAAATGTATTTCCCGGTGGCGGGAGTGTATTTAATGTTTCACGAGTTTTTAATAAACCATTGACCTCCTTGTAGCAACTGTCGGGTGATTTACGTATCTTTGGGCCTATTGTAACAGATTTTACTTTTGGACCGGATGGTTCTCCTTTCACGTTCAATTGAGGATTAGATTCTGCAAGAAATCCTGCGACTTTTTGAGCCTTAGACGAAGAACTAAAAACCATGCCGTATAAGGTTACATCGTCCAACTGCGATCGCTGAAAAAGAACCACCAAAGCTTTTGGATGCCTAGCAGAAACAAAAAATCCAGGTATCTCTTGACGCGAAATCCGACCCTCCAGCCTGATACCAGTAATTAATATTTCGGGGTAAAATGATATGTAGGTTTCGTAACACTTCAAGTGGCTTGAAAGTTCGGTTTTTGAGTTAAGTTTTGTCAATATCAGTTTTGCTGCAGCTTCTTTCAATTTATCTCCATGATTCTCACAGATAAAGGACCCAGTAAATCTTACAACATCTTCAAATAGAAGTCTCTCGCCGTTTATCTTCTTTGAATTTTTAGACATTGTAATGGCTGTGCTTAAAACATGAAATTGAAAAAGAACACGATAATATGCCCACTTTGTGAATACTGCGGTTTTATTAACAAAGCTGAAGGTCAATGGGTTAACATCCAATATACAATTGCTGCATGCTTTTCTATTCCTGTCTTTATATGATCACAGGTGATTTCGAGAAAACACTAGATTACTTTCTGAGAAAGTTAGTTTATTCGAGACGTAAAATATCAAAAATATTTTTGTAACGTTTTTCCATTAGGCCTGAGACTCGCTTCCTTGTACACTTCTGGAGTAACTGGGTCTTTTGAGCCAAACAGGCACAGCAATACAGAGTTTTTCTTAAGTTATTGCGTTTTTTTTAAGAATGTGATCTACGGCGAAGAAATTGGTAGTCTTAGATAAAGATTATTCTTGTTTCTGACTAAAAAAATATTGGGAATAACACCATACATAATTTTGTTTCATAGGTCTATCAAAGAAACACATTCTATTGATTCTGATCTCACCACGCTCAGCTTCTAAAGTCTAAAGTCTTTAATAGTATGAAAGTAGGACAAAATTTGACAGACATAATTTACATTTGTTTACGGCCATTTTTGGTAAAACTATTGATGTAAACACATCCAAGTGCATGTCAAACCTCTAGCCATGGCAAGGTCCAGTAAGCACTTTTCGTGCCAGTGGGTACCTCTTGTATTGTTGATAGAAGAAACCAGACAAGTAGTGAATAGGTCTCTACTTAGATCGTGGGACAGCACATACTAGAGCAATAGGTTGCCTTTTCAGACACACAAGGATTTTCAACGTCCAATATAGAATAATCTATATTCAAAGCAAGAGACTGAATGGGCATTTTAATGTTCTGACACTTACTTATGCGTTTTTGGCCAACTCCCAGCCATTCAACATTTTTGTTATATTAACTTCCTCGCAGAATCAACTTCCATTGGAATGTCGATTCCATCAACTTGCCCGACAGGAACGCGTCATTTCTGTATCCACAGACTAAAGGAATATTACTTACCCATTCAACGTCTGACTTTCAATCACTGGCAACCAACTTTATGGATGTCATATACTTAGCTAGCCTGTTTACTTTTAGCATTTGATTTCTTCCACAAATCAAAGCACATGATTTGCTGAACTTGTCCTCTGTATGAAGATTAGTGCTTGTAAGAGAATAGAGGGTGATAAATTGAAACTAGAATATCTGATGAAGTGTTGTGAGCGGACTAACGAGCATCATGTTGATGTGATATGATTTCGCCGTGCGTGTGAAGTAGGTCTTAGTTATACTACAAAAATATATGAATTGTTATTTATATATGTTTGTTACGTGACAATAGTGGGAGTTTCCAGGGTTTTGTATCGACAACGGCTCATACAGTACTATTAAAAATGATGTACTTTACGATGTTTTCAGTTAATTGTATGCTCATAAGTCGATATAGTGAGTGCAAGCCATGTGATTAACGGACAGTGCATAGGTTTTGACTTACCTTTTACACGACAATGTTATGAACTTTTAGTCAATTTTCGTTAATACGACGACAATGCTTTCACTTTGCAGGATATTTGATCGACAGCTCACATTGATGATTCGCGCATATATCGGTCTTCAAACATTTACCAAACTGATCATGTTCCATGTAAGACTTGAGAACCAAGAGAGAAGTTGATATAACCTAGGATAATCAACTTGTTATGGTCGACTTAAAAATGGGGCTGAAGAAGCACAGCATAACTGAAGAAACAGCATAACAAAGGTTTAGTGCTAATAAACTTAACCAATTGAAGATAGATCTAAGCAACAAGTTTGAAGCTTTACAATATTTGCTCAAAGAAGAGAAAACTATTATAGAGGACAACAGGGAAGGGATCAAAGAAGCATTAACTTCAACGTGTCAGGATGTTCTAGGCCTTAAGAAGTATCACCATCAGGAATGGATCTCTATATAAACCATGAACAAAACTCAAGAAAGGAAGAAAGGAGGACAACAATGAAGAACAGCCAAATAGGAGCTGAGGAAGCCAAGTCACAGAATGAATACATAAAAGCAAACAAGCAAGTGAAGAAGAGCCGACATACAGAAATACGTGTAAGAACAATAACTGTAAAAAAATCTGAAAGAGAAGAAAATATCAGAAGAACATATGATTGAATGAAGAAATTGGCAGGCATATGTAGTAAACCAGAAGGTCCAGTCAAGGGCAAGCACGCTCATCACTGAGGACTATAGGGGTTATATATTTCGAGGACTTCGTGAATAAGTTAGATCCACTGAATTCACCGGACATCGAAGCAGCGCATACAGACCTTCCTATAGATGTCACTCCATCAGCGATAGAGGAAATCCGCGTGATCAAATAGAGAGTGGAAAAGTACCAGGGCCTGACAATATACCGGCTGAAACACTGAAGTCAGACATAGAAGTAACAGCGAAATTGCCACACGTTCTATTCAGGAACTTTGGGGAGGAACAATACCGAAGATACTGAAAGAAGGATACCTCAACAAGATATAAAAGAATGAAGATTGGAGCACACGGGATAAATATAGATGCATCCCACAGTTGTCAGCACAAGGGAGAGCCCACGACAGTGGGCTGCTGAACCGGATGGAAGATTCAGTGGGCGTTTAGCTCCGAGAACAACAGGTCGGATTCCATAGGGATCAGTCGTGCACATAATAAATCGTGACACTACGGAACACTGTTATGTAATCAACTGAATAGAACTCATCACTATACATCAATTTCCTTCACTATGGGAAGACGTTTGACAATGTAGTGGCTGTGCTTCGTTGACCAATCACCCTCGTAACCGTTAACATATAATCCTCAACGGTGTTAGAAATCAGAAGGCAAAGAGAAGCAGCAACTTCAGTTTTATTAGCAGATAACTCAGACCACAAAGCAGAGAGGGGAATGAATGAGTCAGCGAACCGAGATTGTAAAGTGTGTAGAGTGTAGAAGTTTATATATATATATAGGGAAATGGATGGATCATTGAATGAATTAGGCAGCTAATAATAAAGCTACCAGAATGAATATATGCGTAGGCGGTAAGCAGTGTTCAAGCATACATATTCCATACAAGCACAACAATAATAAAGCTACGAAGATATAGATAAGTTGTTATAGTACGGATGACTCTGTCCGTTAAATGAACTAACAAAAGGGCTTAATTGAATTAAATGTGAACAAACTCAGTCGCACGTGAGTTGCTATAACAGTGCGGATAGGTGAACCTCATGAAGCTCTCTTAGATCATATTGTATAACTGAGGAATCACTCATTATTCACACGAACATTTTTCAATTAATGTATTACATTCACCCTTCACTTGAGTAAGCCGATTGAGGCTTCACTTTGAACATTCATTCGTAAAGAGAAGAAAATCAGAAGTCTCCGGATTCATCTGCAAATAACCTTCTGAACTAGTAAATCGACCTGATGTTTGATAGCAAGAGCTGTAGGAAACTTCAAAGAACGTTTTCACCCCCAGTCAGTTAACAGGATTCATCTCATTAGTTATGTTGGTAATACAAATATCTGTCAGAAGTGTCTCATGGTATTCTGCAACAGAACTAGTCTTCAACACGACTCTAAAACTACTGGATGTGCGTATTAATCCTCCTACTGACAGTAAAAAGCTTGATTTGGAAACTTATGTAGACCAATCACGGAACTATATGTTCAAACTTGAATTAATTAGTACTCGTGAACAATTGCAATCGGCATATGTACCCAAGGACCTAAGCACTTGCATGCACGTCTGAATAAGGTCTAACAAAGTAAAGCAGCAGCCTGTTCTCCATTCGAAGGTTCACACGAACTTATCTTAATGAAACCTACATATTTCATGATACGTAAACGAGGAAACACCAACTCAATAAGTATTGATAGACTAAAATAGGCTTATCTAGATAATGAACCACCACTCGCTCTGTTAGATCGCTTACCTAACAAAACAAATACAGAATTGGCAAGTAAGAATGAGAATTTTCTGCAGATGACCAACAAAGTTAGATGGGCACAACCGATCATTCAAATAAGGATATCTACAGTTTTGGCTTAAGGCTAAATCAAGTCACATATCCACTAAAGTTCTGGTCCATTAAATTTTGTGGGCTTATTCAAACAATAAAAACAAAAAGCGAAGGTATTTTATCATCGTTTAACCGATTTTTACAAAAAAAGTACCTAAATAATAGTTGTCTTAAGTAACATTTTGATTTCTCCCACTTATATCTTTTACTTCTGATATGTGAGCGTTATGTTTGTTCTTTAATACTGAGTGCATAAGTGATTTGCCTTGAACAATCAGCTGGGAGATGTAAATCATAAATACTATATCAGCAGGGCTAAGCCACGGAGGATTTAAGAACCTTCTAATGAGTTGAGTGGTTTTAGCGGGCTTAGCCTGTTAAATTATTCATTATTCTTGATTTTTCCTTTGATGGACGACGAGAGTCGGATGTAGGTGCTGAACGAAAGCTCTGAGAATACCTACTTTAAACTCAAACAATGAACCTTCCGAACATCGACGACTTCTGAAAACAGTCCTTGCGATCTACACTAGTTCGCTAAATGACCTATTATGGTCACAGTACTTCGTAACATGCGACATCTCATGCTCGTTTAGGTTAGTCATATATATATATAATCAATAAAACCACTCACATAAAATAAGATATATTCCCTGATTTCATATAACATATTACTATGAAAAAGTTGTTTTCAGGTGAAGCATTTTAGGCCCAACAATAGTTCACTACTTGTTAGTGATTCTCATTATCATTTTTACATGCCAAAAAAGGTTATGCACTAAGCTAACAAACATTTCCTCAACATGATTTGCAATATGAACAGGTAACTCTGATTAATTGGCGTTATTCAAATCATAGAAAAAATGAATTAAATGTCATTTTTTCGCAAATGATAGTGGCTATCTGCATTCACTAGCTAAGAGGATAACACAATGGCGTTCGGAGCGAACAGTACTGTGTTCAAGTATCGGAGTGAACATTGACCCTGGGATGCATGCATATTCAGTTGAAGACCT